CGTAAAATGGATACAGTTACAAAGACGCGCCACGTATTGAGTCCGTTTAATGGAGGTTTTACGGAAGAAAAGCACTGATTTGCAAGACCACTATCACTACTACTGCGTTTTTTTCGACATACTCGTTTCTGTTGGGTTAGGCCAATTTCTTCATACCTCTTCGATCACGGCCACCTAAATGCCCACTTCTAGATTGCACTCAGATAAGAAGATTTCAGATGTGCTGCTCTGGAACGGAATCATTTGATAATCTAAACTAGATCTGTCACGATACTACTGTGTCACTAATTTGCAATGTCCGATCAATTTTTCCACTGGCGGAAAAGGCTTCTATAGATATACGGCTAGATGTATGCTTTAGAAGCAGAAGAGTGGAGCTTGAAGTGAAACCACAACTTTTGCATCCAAACCTGTTGCGCGTCTGTGCTTATCAGCTCGTTTGACCGGATCCACTTTGTATGACGAAATCCTTCACTGCAGCCTCGACGTATAGTCTGCATGGACAAGCCTGTGTGAAATATGTACGCTTCTATATCTGGCGTACATCCGGTCTGCACATGTGGATCGTAAGCGACCACCGTACCCAGTTACCATGAAGCAGGATCGCTTCGAAATGAATTGAGAACGCGATGAAGTCGGAATTGTAAGAAGGAACCGAAAGAGCCATGAGTTCGCCGTAGTTGCATTGTGAAAACTCGTTCGGTCCTCTTCGGCCTTTCGGTTATGAAACATGGAGACGGCTGGTCGAAACTCTTCTTTCCGATAGCTTGACGAAACCAGTAATCAAGCTCCATCCGCTTCTCGTTCACCGATCATACCTCGTAACCTCATGGTGCAACCAGCGTTGCATTGTAACTATCCATCGGTCGTGAGCAACATCTTCCGACATGCCAATCTAAGGCCGAGCGATGCCGATATCCGAACTAGCGACCGCTCAGGGCAAGAATTACGGCCCGCTCAAAAGCGGAGATGGCTGCCTCATGCGTCATAATTCATGCGATCGACGAGATTCAGTTCCTGGTCACCATATCCTCTTCTGAATGAAAGTGTTACTAGCTGAACATGGAAGTGAGTTACTCTCGACGTAAGATGTAATGCGGTGCTGCTCAGGTTATTTGACGAAAGTCGAAAAATTGATCATATAGCATCTGCGTATTTTGTATTTGAAGCGACGCCAGCAACAGCCGTTCGTCTCGTTGGGCGAGTAAGATTAGAGCGTCTGATCGTCTTGGAGAAACCTGCAGGAAGGCAGACTCGGTGCGCTTAACTTTGAGCAGAGCCATTCGGCTAGTCTAGGCAACGGATTGCAAAATCGTGCCTCTTTACGATGATGCCATCAGCGACCTCGCAGCTTTACCGGTAGACAGCAAGAGAGGGTGGTACAACAGAACCATTATAATAACTGTGTCACTTCGAACTGAAATAGCACGTGCACATGCACGCGAATGCCTATTTTGATTGATATGACTGCTTGACAGTGAATATTGTGAGGGGAGATATTGCTGTTGTAGTTTAATCTCCCTTTGAACCGATCGAGATAGATACGGAGCGATGGCACATTGTACGACGATGTATGATCGTACGATGCGCGACGGTGTAGCCGCTGCCGTCGTTGAGGCGCAGATCATCGTCAGCACCTCAGCTATAGCCAGTGGCTGCGACGTGAAGAATCGTAAGAGGTCTGCGTTTTTTTCCTCTCGCTCTCTAACCTCGAAAGGAGGTCCTGCGCATCTGGGCATTTTTCCTTCACTACTCTTCAAAATTTTGCCGATTCTGTGGGGTGACGGCCATTGACCGATGATGTCGCTTGTGTACTATTGAGGTGCCTACACTAGCCGTAGACATATAAACCCATGAAAGGAGGTATTCAAATGTTCCATTGATACATTGTTGCGTCATTTGTATGTTCCACATCACAATGGTGCTTTCTTGTCTTGGCGTCTGTTTGGAGAATGAACGACTTGAAACCATTTAGATAGTAGATCAAACATGTCGGCTTAGATGCTTAGCATTGTATTTCTCTGTGCTTAAGAGTAGAAAAAACGTTTGAATATAACTCGTGAGTAGAAGAACATTTCGTCCGTGTTTTATCGGTAGTGCAGTAATACTATGCGAAGGTGGCTGTCTGTGACCAAGTACAACGTCTATAGTTAAGGACGTTAAAAGATTCATAATTGAAGGACATTAAATAGATTAGTTAAAAAATCCTGCGAAATAAACGCCAGTCAAGTCAACAGGATTAGGATGGTGACAAAGAGCTCAATTGTATCTTTTTTACCACCAAATTTTTAGGCAAAGCTATTAGCAGGTACAGCATGTACGTCCTTATAAAAAAAATGAGAAATTATTGACTACCGCCTATATATATATATATATATACATTGTACTGTCTTTATATATATATATTATTACAATCACACTGATCGAGTTCCGTGAATAATAACTTATATAGAATTACATTCAAAAGTAATTTTTCATGTCTGAAGCCAGCCAAAAATGGTAGCGGCAATCACAAACTGAAGTTATTACTCACGGAACTCGATCAGTGTGATTGTGATAGGCTTAGTACCAGAACGGAAGCCTAAAGCTGCCCGTTACCCGGTTTTCTCGCACCCTATTTATTTCGCAAGCATTTGTTTAACTTTTAAAATTCCTTCTTCCCCGTTTATACTTAGTACTATAAGCATAATATTGTCCATTTTCTATTTTATGCGTGCAGTGTACGGGCAGTGCATCATGGCAAAGAGATCAACATATCGGCGACTAGTCCTCAAGTGTTCGTATGGCCCTTGAGGCTGTATGGGTTGTTTTTCTCCAAATGAGCCTGAGCTCAACGTATAGTACATCTAATAGAAGTAATGACAGTCTGTTTTACGGCATGCTTTGTTTCAGAGATATTTTAGAACAATCGCCGAGGAGCGGTTATTAAAAAGTAACACAACTTAAAGATACCCATGCAAGCAGCAGTAAAGTTTTCTTTATCGAGCTACGACGGTTTATGTATCTGTATGTAATGATACATATTCGATATGGGTTTGCTTGTCTACAGCCACGCATCACTGTTTATAATACGTTGACCACGAACGGCGGCCAGCAGATCGTTCTCAACGTCCAGGACATTTTAGTCCAGCTTTTTATGAATGATTATCGGGTTAGGGGTTGGTGCTTCTGGAAGCGCCACAGCTAGAATCTTTATAGGGCGTTCCAGTCGTTAATACTTTTTTACTATTATGGTATGTTGCTATAGCATTATATATTTTCGAATATTGATAATGAGCGTTTGTAGCTAGCGGTTTTCCAGCAGCAGTGGCCGTCATCGAGTAGCTGCGACAGGCTCCGGTGGTCTAAGGTGCGATCGCGTCTTGCTGGTTGCATTGGCTGGCGTATCGGTGCAGAAGAGATCGGAGCTTGGTGACGCTACGATGAAAAGTTCAAAGAGCTACTGCTGCCTCTTGTTCAGAGCAGCGTGTCATATCGAGTCTCCTGATGACGCCAACCCCTGCCTGAGACCGCCTGCGAACGACTACCGATTGATAGTAAGCGAGCGTCAAAACTACCTGGCCATCTGGTTGAGCGGCACGGCGAGCGACCCGGGCCAAACGCCGGGCGCGACGCGCCCGCTCATCTTGCTGCTGCTGCTGCCGCTGCGAAACCTGCCACAGCAGAAAGCAGTCCCCCACCGTCAGTTGTCGCTGCCTTTTAGTGATTTCGTCCACCTCCGAAGACAGAAGAAGAGCGAGATGAACAGGCAGACGCCGCCGCCGGCTGCACTCGCCTGTTTGTGGCTGCCTGCGCGACCCTTTCGCAACGATTAAACAAGGAAACACCCAAGGATCCCATCCTTTGGCTACGCGGACATTTGAGCGTCTGCCTGAATGTACGTCTGCAAAAATCACCAGGACTAGCTGCTTGTTTGGCTACCTTGCAGGATACGCGAGATATCAGTAAGAGGAAGAGCTACGTGTGTTCGAGCGCATGTTGTGAAAGTTCTAAGTCGCGTAAATGTCTTGCTCGGATACAGAGATAGATAGATAGATGAATTTGCTGCTCTTGTGATGTATGAAGATCTAAATGCTGTATTCAAAAATGCGCGCGGCTCCCATGTGACTACGCCCTATATATATGTACATGCACACGATGCGGCGGTGCGCAGTGATGCTCGAACAGCAGACTTTCACTAATGTGCATTCTGTTCGAAAGCTGTGCAGTGGAGACAATGCGCATAATGGTATCGGGTGGTCGAGGGCTTCAGCTTTCGTTGGCCGAAAAATGACGCGTAGATAGGGCGAACAATCTCCATTTTCGGTTCTTTCTAACGATCTCGAAGGACACTGACGCTGTGTTAGAGTGCGTCCGGGTAACCCCTTCTGGCTGCGGAACTTCCTTACACCCCCAAGATCATCTTCGCGTACTCACATATTTGTGTATGCGCAATATTTCATAACTTTCTGCTTTCGACCCAGCGACGAAAGAAGAGTTGAGTCAGCAGAGCAGGGGAGACGCCAGCAGTTTCAACAGCATGACAGAAGGCGGCTGGGGGTTCATATATGATGTGAACATCGATGTGGAACCAAGTGGTTGCGGTGCTGGTGGAGATCGCTATGAAAGCAAGGGGTGCGACGCTTGGATTTGAGACGTGCGAAAAAAAGAATACAATATGATTCAACATCTTGAACAAACACCCTCTTGAGCTTGAAATCTGCTTTCCCCGGAAGCCAAGAGGGTAGATGGGATTTATCCATAATTTTAGAAAAATTGATTTTTCTGAGGAACAGTTTCGTAGTAAAGGCATTTTGCAAAATGGATGGTCTTATAAGCACTGTTTGTTAACTCGAGTAGTGCAGATTAAAAATAGATTATCGGTCGACGAACGAAACAGAAAAAACTAATCCAAGAAAGCATCGAAGTCGGTCTTACGGGGTACCCTGCTAAGCTTTAGCAGATGTACTTGGGGTCTTCTCTTCTTGAAACATTTAACTGTAAAGAGTTCAATAACATACCCTTGAAAAAAGGAACTATGAAAGTCGACGGCCAAAAACAAAGCTGTCCATCCTTTAACACAGAACAACGATATCCTTTTACGTTACGCTTCAATCCCGGTCAGCAGTCTACGTGCTCGCGTCTTAAGGAATCACTTCTTTATGACATTGTTCAAACTTGTGGTCAGTGTCACACAAACAGATGACTGAAATAAACAAAGTAAAGAAGCGTTAATTGATAAATGTTTTAGAGTTTCAGTATAAATTCATTATGATACCTATAACTAGCTAATTTCTTGCCTTGTTACTGTTGGGAAACTTCTGACGCACAACGTTCGATAGATTCAATGGCTTCTGAAAACTATCTCATTGTTGAGTCGTCGGCCATTTGTGCTGAGGCACTTCGTTCGTATTGCTGATACTGCGGTATCGGAGATTCTGAGAAAAACAATAGTCTGCAACAGTCCGCTTTTTGGCAAGCGCTTGCTGTTCACAGCAGCCGTGGAGAAGAGCTCTAGGCAAGTGAAAAAAATAACAACTTGTGTTTCTCATGCAAATTGTGAGGGAATTAACATTGTTCGAATGAGCGTTATTCTAGTAGAGGGAGAAACAGCTGAATCTGAAGTTGAATTTAATTCAAATGTAATTAGGAGTAGTGGAGCCGCCACAACCAACACGTTTTTTTTTGGTTATCGAGAAGCGATACATACAGCCTGTTTACTGATTTATATATCTAATAGAGCGCGAATAGTCATACTGCAAACATATTAATTAGGCCTATGGGGCCTAGATTAGTTGAATGCATGCTGGAAATATCTAATTTTTTGCTGCATTGAAGTTTTGCCTAGGTAAGTTTGTCACTATATCAACAAGTGACTAATTTATTCGAAACGCTTTATCAAATCAAATGCTTCACTGATTTATCTTTCATGTTTGCGATACGAAAGGGAACTGTACAGGGCCTGAGTCAAGCACATTTTCAAAGACTTCGCCAAAAGCCAAATGCTTAAAAAGTAATAATCCCAACACGCAGTATAGATATTATCTATCAGCACTTATACCGCTACTTCCAAGGGTGTTGCATTTGGGTAATGGGCCTAGAGGTGGAATATAACCCAACTCATAAGGATAAACATTTTTTTAAACCGCAAGAAAGCACATAAATACATGGTGAAAGATTAATAGTGGCGGCAGTTTATTGGTTCTGTTGATGACTAGGACGTGTTACAGAAGGGCCTCTCATGAGTCATCACTTATTTGCTGGTATCTAAGGAGCGTTCTGTACCAATCTGTCGGAGTTATATCGTCCCCTACTAAGCGAGTTTCCTGTACTCAGGCCCACCGCCTTCGGGCTATTTCTTAACGCTAGCACTCTACATATATAGAAGCTGCATTGCACAGCCTTTCCTTGTCCGCCCCCACTAATCAGACCCGGACGAAAACCGCACGCCGACCTTAGCCGTCTCTCACCAATGCCTAACAGTAGCTATTTCGATAGGACAAATATCCTCCAAATTCATTACTGATTTTGACCAGAAAAAAAATACTTGTCTCGATTGGTAGCATAATAAACTTGCTTGTCCTATTACCCAGTACATAAATTCGTACATTTTGTGTCGGTCGCGTGTCAATTGTTGTTGCCTTTTTAGGAAATCAGGATCGGTTGAGCCCCAGCAAGTATTGGCCTGAAAATTCTATCAAGACCACTGTCCATTTGCACCGTACATTTTCTAGCATTCTGTTAAAGAAAGCTAGAAAAAAATAAGCAGACATTTCGTTGACGCGTCCAGCGGCGTTTACGTCAATTTAACAGCAAACGTTAATCAGTCTAAAATATTGTATTCAAGATACAAAAACGACATTATAAATGCAATATTCGTGTTGTCCCAAGACTAGGGTTCTCACGGGTGAGACCTTCCGTCATGCGATGCTACTGTCGTTATTTGATGCGTTGCCTTTCCTCCTCAATGGAACCGCGCCATCGTTACAGCCGCGCTTCAAATACCGTTATTACGTTCCGCTACGTATGGTTCTAACGTAAGCGTAGAGAAAAAAAACAGCTACCAATATGCCAATTTCGTGGTGATCCATCGGGTAGCATGTTCCGTAAGTTCCGATAGACACACCTGTGCGGCAGTAAGGCTACTAGCAGAACAAACGACGAGAAGCATCGACGACGATAGCAGAAACGGTCGCAGCGGAAGCCGCTACTTTGAAGATCTGGCACCTTAGTACAGGAAGTGTTAGGCCGCGAACGTACCGGTTGAATTACTATGCTATGGTAGATTTCGCGTGCTCAGAACTATCACACAGGAAAGGGCTCATGCGACGAGCGCTGGTTGAAGCTGAATTACTACTCGGTATCGGTGTAGCTACTATAATTTGAGGATCAGAAAGTAAATATATAATCTTTGAAGCTCAAAACAACCTGTTTTTTTTTTTTTTTTTTTTCTATCCTTTTCTTTGTTTCACTGAAAAACTACAATCGCGAACGGCAAACGAATTATCATGGCGATTACGTGACCAGTGGGGAGCGACCAATCATGAATGAAGGTTATATGATAACCTGCCGACCGGACGGGCGTAAGATTGAAAGGGAGACAACGAACGAAGAGGTCAACTAAGACGATAACATGTCTACGACATATCGAGGGGTTGTTCGTTGGCGTAATCTGTGATGACTCAGGTAGTCCATGACTCATAGGTAGCATTTCATTCTACTCCTAGGTAGATAATGCACAATTAGATGTTGACTAGTTAGTTATTACGTATGTGTACACAATTGCTGAATGGGACATATTTGCTCTGGCGTAATCATCGGTATTACAACAGTTGAGCCGCGGAACATTGGGCGACAAGCGAAAAAATTGCCTGGATATATCCTCGTGTGCTTTAATAGAAATAGTCGCTTGAAACGCCAATATGATTTAACGATAGGAAAAAAATCAGACTAATTTTTCATGGCCAAAAAAAAATCGTTGTAATCGTTCGCCGGTGCCGTATGGTGTGTCGTAATTCGAGGAACTAAACTGTAAAAACAATTTGATTAACCGTTCACAAGAAAGCGGCAAGATACTAGCTTTTCCCACGTTCGAAGAAGTTGTCTGGACACGTGGAAAGAAAATTATGCAGCTCACAGGGAGGCTTGACATCGATGGGCGCGAGCTCCGTAGTGAGTATCCGGTAGCTATTGTAAGATGACGACGGCAGGATATAAAGCTACTGGCTTCTAGCCATCGTTACAAGAGCACATAATGTGTTGCACTAGTGTCGTATACTTAGCCAATCAAAAGTGAACGGGTCGCACAGACGCAGCTGGTGGCCGAATGAGGCGAGAGGCCCACGCGGAGGGTTACATAAGTACATCGTTGGGCGGGAAGACATGACTAGATTCGTCTCGAGTTGACGCTATTATCTTACCTATTTACCGCCGTTTCCGACACACAGATGGCGATATCTGATGATGCGCGTCCACCTATACCATTTACTGAACTTGCAAACGATCGTGTAGATACATACATTGCTTGAAACATATACAGATTCGAGATCGCATTGATCCTGCATATACGCTGTGGGATCTGAATTGCCTAATCTAAATACGGGAGTTTTTATTAGCTTAAGTTATTGACAAATCGGGCTGGACATTTACCAAGTCCTTTGTGCGACAGACAAATGCCGAAATGATAACAGGAAGTTGCTGTTACTTAGACCGCCTTTTATGCTGCTTCGCTACTCCTCTTAATGTTTAATAGAGAGATAATATGTGAGTCATTGAAAGGGAAGCAGACAAGGAGATAAGGCATCCAGGTGCCTAACCAGCAGCCAGGCGTGATGTAGAAGACCAGTTAAGGTGATCTGATGAGGTACAGCTCCTGAATCAACCGCTTTCGCCTGGTTGCATTATGCCACCACTTTAAGTGACAGCCGCTGTGGACACCCATAACGCCACTGTCCTGTGCAGTGGCCACCCAATGTGAGGTGAGTGACTCACTGAGGTCGAAGTGCTTGCTTTCCGCTCGTATGAACAGTTATCGGCTACTTGTCTGACCACTTGAACCGTACGAGTCCGGTGCGTTGACATTTACCAGGTTGGTTATTTACTGATGTTCATACGAAGTGCCTATGGAAGTTTGACCGCCACTGGACGGCGGATGGAGAAATTCGCCCGCCAGGTGGCGCTCGAAGATGTGTTGCTCCTTGATCACCCACCCCCCATTGACTGACTGCTCTGGTAAAGAAGGGGTGTCCCGTCTAATCCGCTTCATATCAAATTGCATGAATTACTCCTATTACCATAACCAAGGCAAGGCTTGACCTAGCCTCCCAGTCAATTACAGATAACGCCTGGTCAGAGATGGCAGTAATTTCCACGGTAGATAGGTGTGCGCTTGGATCGATGTGCGCCAAATGTGTAAGTGCATGGCAGAATCTGACGACTTCGCCAAAGAAGTGAAGGCTAGGTGTACTGGCGTTTCAGCTGTACGCAAATTCCCCCTTCGTATTGGTAGAAAGTGAACTACAAATACCGCTCCCTACCAGGCTTATTTAGGATGGACTTAAAACGCACAGCGTCTTCGGCGGAATACGATTCAACTAGGTATGGCAGTACGCTGCCGCCTAAATAGGTTTTCGGGAGAGTAGTCTAATCCTAACATAAAAATGTACGGGCACATCTTCAAATGCCCGTTACGATCTGGTACATATTAAAAAAAGAAAAACCTATGGCGTTTCTCGTAGACACAGTGATGGCCCGCATATTGTCTGAACAGCCTCATATAATATAGTTCATTACAGAAGGAATAATTTTTTCCACAAAAGTATACCAACTCGAATAGAGTTCAGTTTATGTTTGATTCTGCAAGCTTAACTATTGCGTCGCCGATGAGAACGATAATCCAAAATCATTTTCACCTATAAAACTATCTTGCGTGTCTTTCTCTATTATCTGATTATGATTGTTCTCAAGGTTTTGCCAATGCTTCCTATATGAACTATGAGACAGCATTATCAGGACAGAAACTCGTAGGCCTGAACAGTTGACACAGTAACACCCGGCGGCTTGTCCTGCATGCTTGCACTTTTCAAGAGGGCGCTCCGGCCCAGCATTAAGCGACAGCACGTGCTCTATAATGAGAGTGAGGTTCGTCGTGCCGGAACGTGCCTAAGGACGGGATCTTTGCCACGCGACTACGATCTGCTATAATGT